TAGGTTTCATGAAGTGACTCTAAAACTTAGTGAAACATATTATCCAACATCACCTTTAGCTTTAGGAGAACTTTTACGAATTAGTATTTTATGTAGTGAATAAAGGGATGACCTAATCTTAGCAATTCCTATCCATTCTATGGAAAGGAAATTTATAAAATATTGGTCTAAGTTGCCTTTGTTGTATGGTTTAGGTACTATTTTGATCCTAGATTAAAATTAGAAGGTTTAGAAAGTGGTTTAGATAACTTAAGTGAATTTTTAGGCATCAATTGTTCGGACCAATACCAATAATAAAGGAAAAAATATTTTCGATCTATAGGAAATATGAGATTAGGTTTAGAGTACCTCTTAAAGTACAGGAACCGTAACAACAAGACGAAAACTCACATTCATTCTTGAATGTTTTCGGGTTGAAGAAGAAGAAGAAGAAGACAACTCAAACAGAAGCTAGGAGTGAATCTTCGTCAACAAGTGGCAGTGGTAGCGACGGCGGCAGCTTCAACGAGTTTATGGCGTACCTCAGTGAAGGCTTAGTAGTCGATGGTACGGCAGAATCGTTTGACTTAGTTCAATGGGGGATGGCACGGGCATTAACTTGGCCAATCCTAACTCGATTGGCAATGGATATATTTTCGATCCCAGTCTCCACTATTTCATCCGAACAAGCCTTCAGTACGATAGGAAGAATACTTGAGGAGCACCGGAATACATTGCAAAGGGATATTGTTGAAGCCTTGGTTTGCATTAAGGATTAGGATCGGGCCGATCAACGTCTACAGGATACAATTTCGCTGGCAAGCCAAGAATGGATCAATGAATTTAATCGATTAACATTTAATTTTGAAGACGATCCTTCAGCTTCAAATTAAATTGTAAATTTGTAATTTGTAAATATGTATTTACTTTTGACATTGTATTTGTAATTGTATAACTTTGTAAGTTTGTAAAATTTGTAATTCATCACAAAATGATTGCACTCTTTTTTCCTTGCCAAGTTTTTATCCCAATGGGCAACCCGTCCAAAGTTTCAGCACTATCCACAATTAGACTAGGCCAAGAAATTTCCGAACCACTATAAATTCATGTCTTCTTTATATTATTATGTAACATTAATCCTTAAGTAATCCATGAGAAGTAGTTGTGGGAGTTCTCAAAAGCTAATCTTTAGTTGACTAGAATTCACTGTTAACAGTGTGATATGATATTATTAGAGGAAAACATAATATATATGAGCCTAATCCATCTAACACCACTCTAAACAGAAATCGGACCTTGGAAAATTAAAAATGACATAATATGTAGGTTCTAGTTCTACCACTTACTTAGACAATAAATTATGTCTATCTATATCTGTAACTCTGTAAGTAAATCTAGGAATAAAAGCACAAGAGGAACAGTTTGTAAATTTTTTACTTGAAAATAGACAATTTTTTGAACACTCTAAGCAGTTCGGAGTTCGGACAAACACTGAACAGGCAATCAAAATTGCTCTTTGAGCAAAAAAAAAAAGCATTCAAAATTACTCTTTACCCAAAAAAAAAAAAAAAATAGCAGTAATATAAAAAAAAAATGGCCAATATATATCCTTCAATTTTTTTCCCTGGGTTTTTTGTTTTGTGAAGTGAATCGAGTTACTAATAAATTTTTAATAAAAAAACAAATAAGATAGTTTTCATTTCACCCCGCCAAACCAAATTCCAAGACAATAAAACCTTAACCAACCAATTCGATCAGAGAGAGAGAGAGAGACAGAGAGAGAGAGTTCAGATCAGAATCTCCAGATTGGAGAGAGCCCCAAATCGGAGGCCGGCGCAGTCGAGAGAGCCCCAAATCGGAGGCCGGCGCAGTCGAGAGAGATGCCCGTGTTCAAAACCCCATTCAACGGCTACTCCGTGAAGTTCAGCCCCTTCTACGAGCACCGCCTCGCCGTCGCCACTTCCCAGAACTTCGGAATCCTCGGCAACGGCCGTCTCCACGTCCTCGACCTGTCCCCTTCCCCTTCCCCTCAACCCATTTCCCAACTCACCTCCTTTGACACCGCCGACGGTGTCTACGACCTCGCCTGGTCCGAATCCCACGACTCCCTTCTCGTCGCCGCCGTCGCCGACGGCTCCGTCAAGCTCTACGACCTCGCTCTCCCCCCTACCTCCAACCCCATCCGCTCCCTCCACGAGCACTCCCGCGAGGTCCAGTCCGCCGACTACAACCCCGTCCGCCGCGACTCCTTCCTCACCTCCTCATGGGACGACACCGTCAAGCTCTGGACCACCGACCGCCCCGCCAGCGTCCGCACCTTCAAGGAACACGCCTACTGCGTCTACTCCGCCGTCTGGAACCCCCGCCACGCCGACGTCTTTGCCTCCGCCTCCGGCGACTGCACTCTCCGCGTCTGGGACGTCCGAGAGCCCGGATCCACCATGATTATCGCCGCCCACGAGTCCGAAATCCTCTCCTGCGATTGGAACAAGTACGACGATTGCTCGATCGCAACGGCGTCCGTCGACAAGTCGATCAAGGTCTGGGACGTGAGGAATTTTCGGGTTCCGGTTTCGGTCCTTAACGGGCATGGCTACGCCGTGAGGAAGGTGAAATTCTCGCCGCACCGGAGGAGCCTGATGGTGTCGTGCTCGTACGACATGACGGTGTGTTTGTGGGATTACATGGTGGAGGACGCGCTTGTCGGGAGGTACGATCATCATACGGAGTTCGCGGTTGGGGTTGACATGAGCGTTCTGGTTGAAGGGCTTCTGGCGAGTACTGGTTGGGATGAGCTTGTCTATGTTTGGCAGCACGGGACTGACCCAAGAGCGCCTTGAATAAAAGGGTAGTCTTTTCTCTTTTCTTCGGAAATTATAATGAAAGAAATGATGATAAATGTAGTTGTTTTTGTTTTTGTTTTTGCTGGCATTGATGAATAATTGGGAACAAGGGAGTTCTTCTACTAGTTGCTGGTGTTGGTCTTTTTTTTTTTTTTTTTTTTGTGATAGAGTGAATGGCTTGCTGAGTAATGCCCAATTACCCTGTATAGCAGATTTTGTTCAATAATATGAGAAGAAGTGAAAGTGCTAATCTTTATCCCATTATTCCTAGATGCTTGTTTTGTCTCATGTTCTAGTTGATTAATCAGTGTTCAATTTAACATTCATTGTTTAAGCTTGAGTTAGGGTGCTTCATTGGTATGGGAAAAGGAAAATAAACGAATTCTGCCCATATTGAATTAGGGGTGAGCTTAGTCAAAGTAGTGACTTCTTTGTTAGCCATTAGCAAATTGTTCGCTTTACTTTAAAGGGTGAACAATTCTTGTTGTTGATACCTTGAATTTCTTCCTTTTTAGCCTTACTACTATTAGTCGCTTTAAACTTGTTAGGTGAATTATTTGGCGGGTTAGATGTTAAGTTGACTTCCTTTGGCTGGGAATTCAGTCCTTTTGCAGTTGAAACCGTTATGATCTACATGATTGAATTTGCACATTCAGATGTTTGTGCTGCAAGGAGTTGGTTGAATGAGTTAGCCTGCTTGAGGTCGGACGGGTTGTGGAATGTAAAATGGACCTATTTTAAATAGAAAATGATCAAGTAACCTGATAAGTAACATTCACCATAACAAAGATACACGTATATGCGCACACCCAGCTATCTACAGACGCGTAGTTTCGCTTTATGCTTTTAGTACGCTTGTTCCTGAATTGGCCTTTATGTTCAAGGACATGGTCTTATTATGTTTTTCCTCTATCTCTCCACTAATTATAAGATTGAAGTGTTGGAACATTTTGGTACATACGTGTAATTGTGAGATTCAATGGCATTAATCTGATTGGCTTTTTGGTTTTGGTTTTGGTTTTCTCTGACTTGTATTTTCTTAAGCTGGAAAGCCTTGTCGTTTCCTTTTTGCCTTGAATGTGCATTTGAGTCTTCTTTTAATTATGCATCTTATTTCTGTTCTTTCTGAAATTACATTTCAAGTTATTGTCAAGTACATAGAAGCTAGATTTCTTAATTGGCTGCATGGCATTACCATGTGCTTGAGTTTCGTGGTCAGGAAATCAATTTTGTACATTTAATTTGGACTTGTGAGTTGGGTACATTGGAGACCTCGAGTTGCTTTTTTTCTTTGGTACTTTACATGTCTTTTTGTACATGATAAGTTGGAATTATTCATCGAGCCAAGGTCCTTACACAGAAAGAGTATTAGTTTCTTGATTGGATTGAATTAAAACTAGGTTTTATGAAATGATATAATTCTTTTGAGAATTCGTTAGAATTTAGATGTTGCTGCTGGGCATTTGTGGCATTTTATCACGTAGAATAAGTGGGAGAAATTCACTTACTTTGAGCGCATGATCGTTGCTTTTGTTTACTCTCTGGGACTGAGCGCGAGTTATGTTTGATGAATTCTCGACTCTCGTCTCTTTTCAGTTTTATCATCTACCTTTGATGACTCGCCATTACTTAGCTGGTGTGCTATCTGATGAATCTTTGTCTTTTGTCTTTTGATTTATTATGCGTCACTTGTTCATGTTTTTGTATTTGTTTATGTGTGCGCTCGATTTACATACTAGGCTTTCATTCAGACCAAAGTTTGGCACCTTAATCATGAATTAAGTCTTTGGGAATAAACTTTCTGTTGCCCGTAGGTTTCCTTTTGTAAACACTACTTACAACGTGTTGATAACTTTCTTAATTTGTGTCTTAATTGTAAGCGTAATGCTTGAGGAGGGTAACGTCCACCATAGTGAGCTTAGCTCTCCCTCTTTTCTGTCGCACCTCTCTGGTCATCCTGCCTCAGGATGACCAAAGACATGCGATTTCTGAGGAAGGAGCGGTTTTTCTGTTGGAACAACATTGAAAACATGACCTGGATGTTTACATGCTTGAGGCGATGTTTGAATGGGTCATTTAGCTCAGTTTCGGTATATGAAGAAGTAACTGCCTATTCGAGACCAGTTTTTGTGGCCGCGTTAGTATCTAACAACGAGTATATTGATGTCTCTTCTTACAGATATTTATGGTTAGCCATGAAGATTAGAAAGAACATTTTGGCATCTTCTTCATCATTGGTACAAAGTAATGTTGTTGCAGCTGATGCTGGATGGAGAAGATCTCTGGCAGAGAAGGTTTTTTGGATTAACGTGTTTGCTGAGTTTTTGGCCTGCTCCTTTCATAAATTCCCAACTTCATAACATATTATAAATACAAAGAAAACAATACCAGTTGTGAATAGGCTATGAAGTGAAATTCCAATGCAGTCTTGCCCATTGATCCAGCAAGTGACTTGTCTCACTAACTCGAGTTGAGAATTTGAGTTGTTAAGTGAATTTTATGTGAGAAAAAAATACTATATAAAAAAAGTTGATTTCAAATTTTATGAGAGAAAATACTGTAGTATAAAAAGTTTTTGAGTTGTGATTCGAATTATTAAAAGAATATGTGAGGTTTTTTTATGGTTACTCCTTGAACTTTTATGTTGGCAATTCAGTTCTTGAACTAAAAATCTTGATAATTAATCCCTCATATTTCAAAATCTGTTGCATTGGAGGTAGAGTTCCTTTAAACAGTTTTTAGCACATGATTTGTACATGATCTTTCTCTTGAGGGCATTAGTTCTCACTTTTACCGAAATCAACAGAAGATTTTTAAAACCCACAAAAAACTAGCAATTAAGCGGATGAATGTGAACGTCTTTTTGCCGTCCTTGTTTATTTTTTAATTAAAATCTCAACAAAAAAAAAAAAAAAAAAAAAAAAAAAAAAAAAAAAAAAAATAAGCTGCTCACATGCGAGTCATGTAAAAAAAACCGCCCAGCAATTTTAATTCTGTTTTCAAAAGGATTAGCAATGCAGAGGACATTGAAATTTGAGAGATCAGTTGTCAAGATTTTTAACTGATTTGTCAAACGTGAAAAGTTTGAGAAAAAAAAAAAAAACCTTCAAATTAAGTAGAGGTATTTTCATTCGCTTCGAACATCCTAACACACTCAATTATGCATGCAAAAAAAAAAAAAAAAAAAAAAAAAAAAAAAAAAAAAAACAAAACGTAACACATTCGTAAAAGGAGCAAATTACGTAGCATTCTAATAATCCTAAATTAATAATAAGTTATTTCTTTTACACTTATTTATAAGAATGCCCCAACTCTTTTTGGCTCCTAAATCCAACGGCCTTACACACTCCAGCTAGAGGGGGGGGGGAAAAAGTATATTATCCTAGTTAAAATAAAGTCCTACTTAGACTTAAATATAAAAAATGCCACTCTCTTTGGTTTATCAGAAAGACGGACACGACAGACGCCAAACTGAAGAAGGAAAAGAGAGAAAATCCATTTACCCATTTTAATCACAGTGGAGATAAATTTGTGTGGCACTTATTTTTGTTTTGATCTTTTTTGTTTGTTTACTTCCTACTAAGAATTAAGAATTAAGCCATACTATTTTACTATTGTTTTTGGTTCAAGAGACTGTCGTAGAGTGAATCTCAATTAGAAATTCGTTTACCTCCTGCGTCATATCATATGATGATTCCATTGAGTTTCTCGGCGTCGACACCACTAATTGAAGCGGCAATGTTGAAGGGAAAAAAAAATCACAGACAACTCTTGGAAGAGGATTGTGGCATCGGTGACTGTGATGGGTGAAATTTGGGTGAGTTTGGAGTAATGATCCGTACCATAATTCGAATTATGATTTGTGATTGTTACAGTAAAAAACAAACGTAAATCGAAAATAATTTTAAATTATAATTCTGAATCTATGAACCAAACGTCCTCTTAATCTAATATAATACCTTTCATAAAAGGAGTTTTGATCAAAGAGGGATTGCTTCTCATCGTGGTTCTTTTTTCTTCAGATGCACTGGATTAGGAAGAAATCACAGGCTCTATTGCTCTTCCTCAGTCGCCATTGGTTTATATGGTTTATTATTTTTTGTTTTTTATAGGATATGGGTTCTTACATGAAAACGAGAGTGGTTAAGTTTATAAATAAGTTATAAAAGAATGTCTTAATATTTAGGCCATGTTCATTTCGCTGATTCGAGTTTAGAATTCGAGTTTCGTTACAGTAAAAAGTTCTCATAAACAATCACATTTAACTTTTTTGTTACAGTAAAAAGTTCTCACATAACATCACATCTAAACTCAAATTAAAAACTCAAATCAGCGAACTGAATGGACCCTTAGTTGGTTTGTTTAATGAAACTAGAGTTACAAGTAGTACGAAAAGAGGATAGCATCTGTAATCTTATAGTCTAATAGAGCATCTGCATTTAGCATTTCTCTTAGAAGTAAAATCACATGAATGGATTGTATCTTTAAACTAGCCAAGCCACTGTTTACAATTGGTGATGGTTCGAAATCCAAATGGAAATGATATCATATTTTTCCCTTACACGTTGATTTAAAAGAAAAAAGAAAAAAAAATGGGTTGTGATCTTTGTTCAAATTAGTTCCCCTCGTGTCATCCAGTCGAGGGACTTCATTAGACTGAAGTCGTTTCACGGTTCACGCTTGTCGTTTGTCCTCAGAAAGAATGGTTGGAGCCAAGCCTAAGTCCGGCCTATTTGCCCCGTTTGGTATGAGAATTCTATAACCGTAATTATAGTTCTGGTTCAAATTAATATTTATTTATAAAAAATAAAAAGTGTTTCTAGTTTGACTCAACAAAATCAGTGTTTAGTTTTGATCGTTCTGATTCAAGGTTTGAATTCTGATTTTATGTTTTAAGCCAAAACCACTATTGATTCTAAAACCACCTTTTTTATTTTTGGTGGTTTAAACTCATGATTCTGATTCTGATTCCATAATCATGATTTAGACACAAAACCATGAATCATGATTTTGGTTCTAAAATTAAAATCAGAATCACCCTAATTTAAACTATCGTACCAAACGAAGCCAAATGGGGCCTATCCATTAATGGCAAGGGGCTTTTTACGCTATTAAAACTATTGAGTTTCTTAGCAAGACTAAAAAAAATGAATTATCGATAGTTTTTTATTTTTAATCATCATATTTGTATAAAAAATTATCTGCGTTGTATACCATTTCAGTCTTATGTGTTTTTTTATTAAATCTAACGGTTAAAAACTGATATTACCTTTAAACCAGCTTACCAAAGAAGATCCCTTAAAATTAACCTTTTTTGGTACATTAAATATGGAAAATTCCATGGTAGATAATTTTTTTAAAATAATCCTCTGCCAACCAATGGACCTTTTTGAGGTCCTTGATCTAATGCAATACTTACTTTCATTAAGTATTGCATTTTTACTTCCACTTCTAGTCATGTTTGACTGCATTTTTTACCTTTTGTTCTTTGTCACAAAAAAGTGAAATAAGTTGACCTTTCATTTACTTTCTATTCATTCCAAAAGTAAAACAAAAGGAGTTCATGGCCGCTCTTCAGCTCACATACCTGAGTGGTTGGCTGTTAGAGAGGGGGTTTTTTCCGCTCAAGCACATGGTTTCCAAAACTAGATGGTAAGACTGATGGGTGAATGCAGTTCTTGTCATAAAACCCAAGTTAAGATCAGTTGATTCAAGTGTGATTGGTTATATACTTTTTCAAACTTCCTCTGTGGTTCTATTCGCTACACTTTTCGATCATGGAATTTTGTAGCCCACGCACTAACTGCTTTTGTTTTTCTAGTTTAAAAAAAGGCGGACCCCAGTGCCAAAGAGGCTCCCGTACTATGACAGACTCAGAGAAAAGCTCAATCTCATATGGACGCGGCCTTATCCCCCCAAAGAAAAAGCCGTTTCCGGGATTCGAACCTTAGACCCCGGATGCAAACGCAAGCGCTCCTACCACGGTGCCAAGGCCCGCCTTCGTAATTTGTCTGATGTAATTTGTTTGCTTGACTCGTCTTAAATTTATCAATTGTTTCGTACAAACTGATTCAACTAATATTGAATAAAAGCAAGTCTTAGCAGCTAATTAAGCAGGCCCCCACTAAAGGATCCAAAGCTAGAGCTAACCACCAATAGAGAAAAAAAAAACCAAAAAAAAAACAAAAAACAAAAAACCAAAAAAAAAAAAAGAGGAAAAATTAACCCTAAATATTCTAGGTAAAATACTGATCAACGACCTTGTTGTGTAGAGTAGTTCATGGCCTTTAGTAAGCCAATAAATTAAGAGCTTTAAATCGGTGTTGATACATGACGACATCGTATGGAGTCAATCAAGTTGTGAGATTAAGCAATTTGGATGATTAAATAATTTCTATTTTCTTCAGAAAAAAAAATAAAAAAAAAATTAATTTCTACTTCCTAATGCAATTAATATCGAGCACCTTATTAAACACAAAAATAAACCTCACTTATAGAGTCCTGTAGGTACCATTATACAGAGCCCAAAAACCTCTTTATGTCTACGAGAGGAATTAATCTTCTATAGGGACACACAGGATTTTCTATAAATATCGTAATTGAAGAAGCAAATTCAAAATGTGAACATAGTACGCTCACTACTCTACTTGTCTGTCTACATTCGTGTGCTTATTGTCGTTCTTGCTATAGGGGATTCACCAAAAGAGCTAAGAAACAAATAGGTCAATTTGACGTTAATTTTTTAACGTAACAACAAAAGTTTCACCATTCAATTATACGTGTCACATGTACATATAGCTTGCGCTTACAGGTGGCACCATTTAGGCTACCTGAGGCTCTAATCCTGCCACGTACCCATTTTCCCATTGCTGACGTGGCAACATCCGAATCCATGTAGATATATAGAAGAGGGGTTTAGGATGAGAGGCAAGCATTAATGTTGCAATGACGCAAAAGCTCCTCTTTTATTTTATTTATTTCCTTTTGGTGGAAGAAACGTGAGGATATTCAGCATATTACAACTTTCTTAATGGGTCAACCTGTGCTTCAGATAATCCAAGTATTGTGCCCATTTCCTTCTAAGAATTATAATTCATTTTCCTACTTTAACTACATATTTTTCAAAATTCTTTTAACTAATTGAATATATATATATAATTTAATTTGATCCGCGTGATTGGTGAATTTTCAGTTTTCTTTATACGTACGGTTTTATGTTTTTTTTTTTTTTTTTTTTTAAGATTTGTAATGAACTTACGATTTGTATAGTTTGCAGTTACTAATTAACTTCAAAAATTAATCTAGTCTACTGTCTTTTAATTAACACTAGTATTTGTCCCTTTTTGAGTTAATTTGAACTTGCTTTGATCAGTTGAGACGAGATATTGATACACACGCGCCTTGGGAAGAAATCGCAGAGGCTTTTAAAGATCCTTAATTTGCACGAAACAAAAGAAAAACACTACAAAAATGTATATATGAATAAAAATATCTATATATAAATAACGTCCAAAACCACACACGGGTCTTAGGGATCTGTGCATTAAAGTCGCACTACTTATAACCGCCTTAATTCAAATAAGTGAATGAAAACAAGAAAGAAGAAAGAAAATCCCAGAAACATTAGTACTACTACTATACCAGCTAACCGACTTGAAGAAACAAAAACATCTTAGCTATAACGATATATTGCCGCTTTTCACAATTACCTGTACATCACCAAACTCAAAACTTGCAAACTAAGATATCAAATACCTACAATATTAATATATTATTGCAGGCTTTAGCTAGCAGTTCATACATCACCGATAATAAAAATCCATCACACGGCCTATTACTTTCTTATATACATAATATGTAACGAAATATATAACCGACCCTGATCACAAAAGAAGCCAAAACTTTCGATGCAAGTGTGTGTGTGTGTGTGTATATATGTTCAAATAATATATTAAACCACAAAAAAAAAAAACCTTCTCAAATCCACATTCATATATAACAAATATTTGACGCAGCAGCTTCAGACGTACGTTCGTAATATGTATAATTAAATTTTATTATTATTATTATTATTATCTTCTTTACTATTGACTGTGAATTTTGTGTGTTCTGTTTCTGTGTGTTATTAAAAAGAAAAAAAAAATATTTCGGCGTCAATATTAATATAATGAGAGGGACGTATGCGGCAAAGACAGAAGCCATCTTGACGCAGCACCATAGGCGGGAGGTGTCCCCAAACCAGTGCAGCTCGAGGCTGACGCAGACCATTGGGGCGCCAATGGGGTTGGTCTGGTCCATGGTCCGGGACTTCGGGCAGCCCCAGGCGTACAAGCGGTTCGTGAAGAATTGCTTAATGCGGTCGGGCGACGGCGGCGTCGGCAGCGTCAGGGAGGTCCGCGTCGTCTCGGGGCTGCCGGCGGGGGTCAGCGTCGAACGACTCGAGAGGCTCGACGACGACGCGAGGGTCATGTCGTTTAGCATAATTGGAGGGGACCATAGGCTGGAGAACTACCGGTCGACGACGTCCGTTCATGAGGAGGATGATCTTGATCATGATCATGATCATGATCATGATAGAATTACGGAGAAACGGACGGTGGTGATCGAGTCGTACGTGGTGGATGTGCCATCCGGGAGTAGCGAAGAGGACACTTGCGCCTTTGCGAATACGATCATAAGGTGTAACCTCATGTCATTGGCTAGGATTGCTGAAAAAATTGCTGCTGGCTCATGAACCTTTTTATTTTTGACGTTTTTCATCGTTTGTTTGTTTTAGCCTTTTCTATTTTCTTTTAAACCTTCTCCAGTACGCCAACATACCGGTAGATTATGCTTTCTATCCGTCAGATTTACGTAAAGTTACGTAAAAATCAAAATATACACAAATCTAACAGTTAGAAAAACATGACCGACTACACCAAACGTACCAAAAAATCTTCCATTTTCTTTTTGCCAATTACTTATTTAGAAAATTCTTAATTAATTTGGTGTTGCGTGCACACATGTTGGTTCTTACCTTCTTTTCATGGTATTTTATTTTTTTTATTTTTTTTTTTTTTTTGCTGTTGTGGTTAGTATTTGTTTCAAAGAGAAAAGTACATGGTTTATTATATGATTTTTGTAGAAATTTATTATTTATGTCATTTTATCTATATGATTTTTGTAGAAATTTATTATTTATGTCATTTTAAATAATTGAGTGCTCTGTGATTAAAATAAAAAATGACAATTGCTTATTTTTGTTTGCAGTGTTACAAATCTTTTTTTTTTTTTTTTACCATTTTAAGTGATATTTCTGATTTTTTTTTAGAGGCCCATTCTCCAAGTAACAAGCTAAGACACATGGTAAGAAATATACAAAAGATATATAATGTAATAGTTTAGACTACGTAGTGCATACTTTTGAACATTATGTACATTATGTTGTAACATATATGGCTCCGTTCATTTCACCGATTTGAATTTAAAATTCAAATTTTGCTACAGTAAAAAGCTCTCAGAAATAGTCACATCTAACTTTTTTACTATAGTAAAAAGTTCTCACATAAAGGCATATCTCAACTCAAATTAAAAACTCAAATTAGCGAACTAAACGGCCCATAATCAAATATAAAAATGTAGACATGATAGTTTTCTGCAGTCTTGTACCACAAGATCCTAAGAAATGTCGTTAATTATTCGCCGAATTCGATTCTAACTAGAAGTTTCATATAGTACTTGTTAATGTTTCTTGTTCGAGTGACTAGTGAGTGAGTTTTAAAGGAATAATTCTAGGCGGCATCAACTTTAGTTTTCTTTGGTTCTGTTTATTTTATCAATTTAAATTTTATTACAGTAAAAAATTTTTAAAAATAGTCATATATAATCTTTTAATTACAGTAAAAAAATTTCACATAAAATTACATTTAAATTTAAATTAAAAATTAAAATCAATGAATTAAGGCTCCGTTCACTTTGCTAATTCGAGTTTTTCTACAGTAAAAAACTCTCACAAACAATTACATCTAGCTTTTTTACTACAGTAAAAAATTCTCATATAAAATTACATTTCAACTCGAATTCTAAACTCGAATCAATGAAATGAACGGGTCCTTAATGACCCTAAGTGTCTGTCCTCTCTTGTACCCACTGGCCTGCCTTTTTAAAGAGTACAATAAAACCCCAAACCATGTGGACCAGAAAAGCCCACTAGCCGTAAAATAGGATGAATATAATAATCATAGTGAGAAAGAGAGAGAGAGAAATATGGCAACAAAACAATGAAAAACATGTATGGCTTCTATACTAGTTCACTGTTCGAATATAAAAGCAACATAAAAGAAAATAAAGAAAGAAATAAGAAAGTAAAGAATATACCACTTAAACTTCTTTTTTAGTATTGCGCCTCCATTTTTTTTTTCTCCTAGAATTGTACCTCTCTTAAGTAGTTAATTTAATCTTAAAGAGAGAAAGAAAGAAGGTAAATCTAAGAGTATTTTAAAAATAACGTAAATCTAATTTATAGCCCTCACTAAAGAGAACTCCTCTAGTTCTAAATTTTTTTTAATAGTATAGAATAAAAAAAATGAGGCAAATACTTTTTAGAGTGTGCTAGTCTAGATTTTCATTCTTTTACTCTTGATCAATAACTTTGTTGAGACAAATAACAATATTAGTCAAAATGATATTAATCAATAATAAAGGTAAAAATCGAGACAGGATTAAGTTGAACAATTTTCTTTTATTTAATTATAGAAAAATACATGATTTATCATAATTTTGTATAAAAATATTATTGTCATTCTAAATAATTTTATGTCATTATGGTCTTTTATTTTTTCTTTATTAATTAACTGACAATTATTTATTTTTTTGTGCAGCGGCATAAGTTCAAGTCTTTGAGGGTAAGGGGTTCTATTCTACTAAGAATTAAAACGGATAGTACCCAAGAAGTAAAGTATTAGACATTAGTTTGGGCTTGGAGTTTGTTTAAATCTGCCGTAGAGGAGTATTGAGATTCGATACATATATACACTTAAATTATATATGGATTATATATTGAAAAAAAAAAACGTATGTTACATATGTTATTTAAACGTATATAAAAATATATATATAATATATAATATATATAGTTCGGATTAGTAAATTTTGCAGATTGAGAAATGCTTCTCAATTCGCATAATATTTATACTTCGCAATTTAATTCGTCATTGCAAATTTAGAAAATCTCAATTCGCTAGTCATTGTCAATTTAAGCCCAAAGTAAACCTTCTCCTTCACTGTCCCAGCTTCAACTCATGTTCTTAAAGTTGACCGTTAGATCTCCCTGCTCTACTTTCCCGCTCTCAAGTCAAAGCTACTCATGATGTACTACAGGGAATTATGCGCTAAATGTTAAAAATACCAATTTTAATTTTAATTTTTATATATTAACTGATATAATATTTAAGTTATTAATTTTATATTAATAAGTATTTAAAATATTATCATTTTAATTAATAATAAGATATTACATCTATTAATAAAAAAATAACAATTCACATATCACATTAATTAATATATAAAAATTAATATTTAAATTGGTGTCCTTAATATTACTTTTTTGCCATGTTATTGTCTTCAATCATTTTTCAAATCACCTTTACCAAACTAACACTAAATATATAGTCCTCGAAAACATTTTGAGCAATTCACAGGATATTGTAGTCTAGAAAAAAAAAAAAAAAAAAAAAATCTATATCTGACTGGTAGGCTTACCTATATATATAAACGTGGTCAGAAATCCTCAGACAGATCAAAACATCAACAAACAAAAAAAAAATCTTGATCTGACTGGTAGGCTTACCTATATAAACGCGGTCAGAAATCCTCAGACAGATCAAAACATCAACAAAAACTGATCAAAACCCAAGTTAGAAAACTAATGGGTTCAAAGAAAATCCAATCAGCTCTTGTTTTCTTGATCTGGGCATGGCTAACATGCCTATCTTCAAGCCTTCTCGGTCATGAAATGGAAAGTTTCCCATCAGAGAAAGAAGCGGTTGAGCTGTTCCGAAAATGGACAGAAAAGCACAAAAAGGTTTACCGGCAACCGGAAGAGGAAGAGAGAAGAAATGAGAATTTCAAGAGGAATCTTAAGTACATATATGAGAAGAATGATTATTGGAAGAGAAGGTCGCAGAACGGACACAAGTTGGGGTTGAACAGGTTTGCTGATATGAGCAATGAGGAGTTCAGGAAGGTTTATTCGTCAAAGATTGACAATAAGAGGCGGAGGAATGTTATTCCCAGCAGGAGTTTGCGTGGGAAATTGGGATCTGTTGATGCGCCTTTGAGTTTGGATTGGAGGACAAAAGGAGTTGTTACTGGTGTCAAAGACCAAGGCAATTGTGGTAAGTTTCTACTTTCTCTGTAGTTTTGAGGTTTTGGTCACACTGCGTGCTTTAGAATTTTATCTGTGTTTCGCGTTGTGCATGCTTTAGAATTTAAGATGAAAAATAAGGGAGATTTTCCTGTAGAACCTGCAGTTTTTAACTGTCAGTAGTTATTGTTGTTTAGCTGTTAAAATAAGATTTTGAGAGTTTAATCTGTGAGTATCTATCCTTTAAAAATTTTCCAGCGTGAAACACAAATCAAACCATAATATAATCCAATAGTTACAATAAAAGTAACTATCGATAGTTAAAAAACAACAAGTCCTATCAGAGAAATTTCTTAAAAATAATAAAATACAGCCATATATTTTAACTTTTATATGTTCTTTGCTATTTGGGGGAACTAGTATACCATTTTTTTTTTTTTAGGGAACTAGTATATGTTATGACGAACTTTTGTGCCTATAGAAAGTCCAATGCGTGTGATTTTACACTTGAAAAATACGAAAGCATTGTAGTGGGGAGAGGCGTTAGTTCAAATTGTAATTTAGTTTTCAGATGGGCAGAATGTTAGTACGTGGGGCAACCTTTGAGATTTTTAGTGGTAAATCATATAATTGGGATTATTCGTTCATTTTATCGATTCGAGTTTAAAATTTAAGTTTTTTTATAATAAAAAACTCTCAGAAACAGTCACATCTAACATTTTTGTTATAGTAAAAAATTCTCACATAAAGTCATATCTCAACTCAAATTAAAAACTCGAATCAGCGAACTAAACGGGCTCTTATTGTGCTAAAAAGCCTAATAGCTTTTTTGTCCCCCCGGGAAATACGATAGTTCTAAAAAGTCAATATGAAAGAGTGGAAAAAAGGCCCTTTTTAAAGGTAACTTGGTGTAGAAATTATCATGTGACTAGTAAGGACTCAAATGGAAGTAGTGGGCGCTCCATTGCTTTGATATTAAGACTTTAGGTTCGAATGGTCTCATCAAAATTATCAGAGTATGCTAATCAAATAATAATAATTATTATTATTATTATAATTATTATTATTATAATTATAATTATTATTATTATTATTATAATAACCATCATCATCATCATCATCATCATCAAGGTATCTTGGTACTTTTATGGATTGAACTGAAAACACATATTTCCACCACTGGGACATGTCATGTGAGAGGGAGGAGGCAGAGAATGAGATAGATGTTCTAGAATCGTAGATAGAAATTAGTTAAGCTTAACCTCTACGCTTCTGAAGCCCAATAATGCATCTTGAATTCACTTTTTTTTTTCTTTTCGAAAAAATAATATCATAATAGTATATGTACTTTGATGTTTAAATAAAAAAATCACTTTGAGACCCTGAACTGTTTTTTTTTTTTGGTACAAAAGATGATCTTTTTTATCCTTATTCTCCTTTTTATTTAATGGTCCAAAATTTTTTTAAAAAAATGACTGAAATATAAGCAAATATTTTCCTTGTGTTCAAATATCAATGAATGATATTTTTAATAAAAGGAATCGATTTAGGGTATCAAAATGATACTTTTTAAAACATGAATGTACCATTTTAATATTGTTAAAAATACAAAGGTATCAAAGTGAGTTTTTCAAAATAAATATTGGGTACCAAAATTATTTTTTCCTTTTTTCTTGGTATTAGCAAATTTTTCATGTGTTTGTGGTTAATTACATAACTATATCTCTTAGTTTTAATTATTTATTAATTTATCCCACTGTCCTCTTACCCCTCTGTTTCTAGAAACTACAGAAATATCCTTTAAAACTATTTTTTTTTTCATTTTCACTTTCATTTATTGCACACTTTGTAAACAAAAGACATGGAAAAAAGACTTTCGAATCTTTAGTTATATCGAAACTATTTCTGATTTTTTTCTTGAGAAAAAAATTAAAAAAATATTTTTATCCTTCAAAAAACATAAAAAATCAAGATCTGTTTTTTTTTAAAAAAAAAAATTGATGTTTTGTTTAGGGTTTTTTATGTTTATAAATTTATAAAATATTGTTTTTGAGGAAATCTATAAAATACATTTCATAAACTATTTACGCATAGTTATGTCTTTCATCCAGTTTTTTCTATTCATTAAATGAGTGAGGCATGAAATTGAAATAAATTTTTAAATTCAGAAGATGCCTTTTTATGGTTTTTAAAAACAGAGAAATAAATTGATAAATAACTAAAATTACTATCTGCTCATAAAATACATGAGGGATGGAAGTGAAATAAATTCTTTTTCAAAAGATACATTTATAATTTCTAAAAGAAGAGGGACAAATTGATGAATAATTAAAACTATGAGATAAAATAAATATTTAATTGACCCTAAAGAAATGTGTTTTATTTACTTGAGAGCCAGTAGTTTCAGGTCTGTGATTATGAGCAAGTGAACAAAACAAGTTAGAATGTTGGAGTTACTTGATTGTACAAAATCCTAAATAAATAAATATATATATATATTTATATATATATATGAACGTTTTTCATGTCCATCAATTGTGCTATACTAAATCAGAATAATTCATATCTGTGGGGGAAAAAAAAATCCAAGTTGCAACCACAGTTTTCAAATTAATTAGGAAGAATAAAAATTCCAAATCACAATTTGCTCAAGATTAATTATGCGATTACGATGTTTAATTACAGGGAGTTGTTGGTCATTCTCAGCAACGGGTGCCATGGAAGGAATAAACGCCATAGTCACCGGGGACCTCATAAGCCTTTCGGAGCAAGAACTTGTGGACTGTGATACCACCGACAGTGGATGTGACGGAGGCAATATGGACGATGCTTTTGAATGGGTCATCAACAATGGTGGTATTGATTCCGAATCTGATTACCCCTATACTGGTCTTGACGGTACTTGTAACACCACCAAGGTCTTGCTTCTTCCATTGAATTGCCAACATTTGGTTCATCTTTACTGTTTTACACACTCAGTTACGAGGCATCGATAGTGTTAAGCACCACCACCGATAGAAAATAGATTACGTAATATGAGACACATAAGAGGGGCCATCTCATACGAGTATTGGTACTTAGCATCGATGAGACTTCCAAATATTTTTATACACATGCAATCATGCATACACAATATAATACTGAACATATTCAACCCATACAATTACTAATCTATTACTGGTCACTTTTGGTCTAATCAGATAGCTCCAAATTGCATTGTAAAACTATATGTAATACCATCTTGAATGCAAATGACTTTCTCAATTGTTATATTTGTTACTAAAAAGTGTGAAAATGACATTTTTATGTACTATTTTATATGTGCTCCAACACATAATACTATTCAAAATGTTATATTTGCTTTTTGTTATAATTGTTAAGTTTTAAAACTAGTAAAAAGTAAATTTTTATATTAAAATAATTTTAAAAAAGTAATGTTATAATGATTAAATAGCATATTAATAAATAGCAATCAAATGTCAAATTTAACATTTACTAAATATGGTGATAAGTTTGCCAGTATCGTGTTTGCTAAATTTAACAAAAAAATAATATTATATTGGGGATTTTTTTTCACTCAAACGTTAAAATTTAAATTGTTACTTTAATTTGACATTGCATTGGAAATGCTTTAAGTCCATGTATCATAATCATTTATATTATACGCGAGCCTCTTAGCAGTGGAGCCACATTGATTTCTATGGGGGTACTTGTCCCACCTAATTTCTGAAGTTTTTTTTTTTATGTGAATATAAATTTTTGAGATGTTTTTTCTGTGCCCTCAATAAATTAAGAAAATCGTAATTATGCTTCACTCAACGAAGAAAATTATTATCTCATTTAAAAACAGAATTTTAATTATGCTCCTTTTTGTAGTTTTTTTTATACTGTGACCTACTTAAAAGAGCTTTTTGGTTAGGCTAATACTATAGTTCACATTACTCCTTTTGTTTTTTGGGCTCAATTGTCACATTAATTTGTGTATCTTCTTACATATTGTATGATCAGGAGAAAAGGAAAGTTGTTACCATTGACGGGTATGAAGATGTAGGAGAATCAGATGCTGACCTTTTGTGCGCCACTGTTCAGCAACCAATTAGCGTTGCTATAGATGGCTCTGCATGGGATTTTCAACTTTATACAGGGGTGAGCTTATTATTTTACGTAATGTTGTGTATTCCACAGTTTCACCAGGACATATATTTTGAAATTTATTGTTAAATAAAATGTAACATGTGATTTATTAGGGAATCTACGATGGTGATTGCTCTCACGACCCGAACGACCTTGATCACGGTGTTCTAATAGTCGGATACGGTTCTGAAGGCGGTGAAGATTATTGGATTGTAAAGAATTCATGGGGAACTAATTGGGGAATGGGGGGATACATCTTCATAAAAAGGAATACTAATCTAGAATATGGTGTATGTGCAATTAATGCCATGGCTTCCTATCCAACCAAGGAATCTTCTGCACCGTCCCCATTTAGTCCTCCGTCACCACCTTCACCACCGCGACCACCTCCTCCCTCACCCTCACCAGCGCAATGTGGAGATTTCTTCTACTGCGCGAGCGATGAGACTTGTTGTTGCATCCTTGAATTCCCAAATTTTTGCCTGATCTACGGTTGTTGTGAATACGGGAATGCCATTTGCTGCAGTGATACCGAATACTGCTGCCCCAGTGATTACCAAATTTGTGATGTTGAACAAGGCCTCTGTGTAAAGGTAAGGATTTGTTGACATGGCATGGGGCACATTGAAAAATAGTTATACAATTTAGGCGCATTTATGAAACTAATCATCTTTTCTTTTTTTTTTTTTTGAATTCAGTATACAATTTGTTTTAATCAAATTGCAAAGTAACATTTTTTTTTTCAACTAATTTTGTTTTGAAGAAACAAGGAGACTACTTGGGAGTAGCGGCAAAGAAAAGAAAATTGGCCAAGCCCAAGTTGCCGTGGACTAAAATAGAAGAAACAGAGAAGAGAAATCATACTCTGCAGTGGAAGAGGAATCCTTTTGCTGCTGCAATGCGCTGAGAAAAGGAAGACCGGTCACCAGTGTGTTTTAATAATTTTTATGGAGACTAAGCAAATATGTTGCAAGAAAAAAAAAAAGAAACTGAAATAGGAAAGGATAAAAATGTGATCTTTTCACTACTTAAGGTGCATTTGATTACAGTGACGGAATGATAATAGAATGGAATTAGAATGTGGTTGAATCATAAACTGATTCTTTAGTTTGATTGGAGTTATGGAATCAATACCTGAATGAGAATTGTGCTGTTTGGTTGACAACGGAATGGAATGAAAATAAACTGTATTTTGACAAAAATACCCTTAATTAATAATCCTAAATTATTTAATATTTTAATTAATTAAAATAGTAAAAAAATAATTTAATTATTGAAAAAACTTTTTATTTGAAGAATAATAATTTAAAAACTATATTTCAATTGTAAAAAAAATAATATTTGATATTTTTATGTAATAATAAATTATCACAAGCTCAAATATGATCACTTTTGGCATCTACCATGATATGTTCCCTAAAAAATATAACTTTGGCTCCTGTCAATAATAAAAATGACAATATATCATTCAATTACATATATAATCCCAAAATATAGTCATATGCCAAGTCAAGCAAGTTCCTAGTTAATACAATTTAACAAAGTAAAGCATAATCCTAATTAGTTACAATATCAAAAGAGAAATGCATAGCACACACCACTATATCAAAAGATAATCCGGCTATGTTTTTCCACTGAAACTAAACAAATATTCCTAAATATCACCAGCAAGCAAAGCTCTAACCCACTCATCTTTTTCATCATCAGGGATACTAAAAAAGTAAGAAACTAGCATCATCATTTATCATCATCCGAGCTACCTTATGACGTTCCATTGTGTTAATAGTTGTGGTCCTTTATAGCTCATCTCTAATCCGGCTATGGTTTTTCATCATGTCTTCACCGATAGCCCGACTTAAACGTTCACTTTCCTATTCAATAACACCAGCAAGTAAACTAGATGATCTTTCAATGGCTTCATAAGCCTCTGCATTGTTTGTACTCTTCCTTTTTTTTAGACGACTCCTGAGATTGAGCTTAAGTTTAAGGAATAGCCGATGCTTGTGAGAAAGACATTGATTGCGCTTCATCAATATAAGTCGTATTGTGAATGTCATTGAAACAGTCATCGTCAACATTAATGTCGTCAACTGCTTCTTTTTCAAGTTCCTCAACTACATCAACAACAGCCTCGGCACCCCTACCAGTTGCACGATCTTTGTCGAAAACCATACACAAGTCATCATAATAGGGAAAAGCCTTGGTCTTAAACGGTAATGCTTCCTTATGACTCTGAATTTAATACAAAAAATGATGTAACTAAATGAACAACTTCTATTACTATCAACCATATTACTAAATTATAATTATAAGTACCTTGAGATATGCTTCCCATATCGGCTTCTTCGCAATAACCGTTTTACTGTCTAGATCCCATCCAAAACCGCTACAGTTAGGCCCGGTTAGCATTTCATAAACAATTTGAAAATGAGTCTTCAAGGTTTTTATCCTTGACTCTGTGTGGCCTAGCTAGTAAGTCACATCTTGACAACTTGTTATGTTAAGAGCTTGCAGATGTCCAGCCTTGAAATTACCTTCCGTTTTATATGTTCCCTCGTTATGTAACTCCATTAAAGCTTCAATTAAGAATTTATCCTCATCTTCATTCCAAAACCTTTTATTTTGTCCTGGACCTCTGGATTTGGAAGTGTCCATCCTAACAATAACAAAGAACAAACATGCATACAATCAAGAATCAACATCCTCCATGATATATAATTAGTAACTTGCAAATACTAGAAATAAAAACATAACAAAGCGACACATATTATTCGAGGAAAAAACATAACAAAGCAACATAAGTTTGTCCTAATACAAGCAAACAACACAAGTCATGTTACAACTCCCAAGGAAAAACACAAATACAATTGTCATGCATTCCTACGATGCCTCCAATCATTAAACATATCTTGTGCTATAGTATTCCTCCACTCAGTCCATTCCTCTGAAGGCTCAACGGTCGTTATCAAATCATCACTTCTTCATCATCTTCTTCGTTATTCTCACACTCATCTTCTGGTATTGGATCTAGAACGTCATTAGGCATTTTGCGCCTAATAAAATTATGTAACAAACAACATGCCAAGATAATGCGATTTTGAGTTTTAATTGGCAAGAACGATGGACTACGAAGAATCGCCCAACGACTCTTAAGTACACCAAAACATCTCTCAATCACATTCCTAGCATGTGAATGTTTCATATTAAAATACTCATGTGATTCCTAGGTTATGGTCTATCTTCCCATTCCTTTAGATGGTACGGTTGGCCATGAAATGGAGCAAGAAATCCTTTACAATTGGTGTATCCAGCATCAACAAGATAGTAACATCCTGTTAAAAGAATTGATAAATATAGATTTAACATTTTGTAAATGTAACAACGAACGATGTAACAAAGAACGAGTAAACTACTTTACTAGTAACAAACAAACTTACCATTTGGAACACGTAAACCATTTGCCCTACGTAGAGCATCGCGTAATACTTTACCATCAGCTGCAGATCCTTCCCATCCAGGCAACACATATATAAATTTCATATCTCGTGTGCATACTCCTAAGACGTTTGTTGCTACAGCTCCATGTCGATTACGATATTTGGGTCTCTCTGCCATAGGCACTTTCACCCTAATATAGGTTCCATCTAGTGCACCTAGGCAATTCTATAATAAATAAAAGATATAATTATTAATTACACCATGGGTGGTGCCCATTTTAAACATAACACAGAAATAGGTACGTACCTTAAACCATTTCCACCTCTCATCAGTTGAGTATCTGCAACCGGCTCGGGTCTAACGAATAACACTCCATGAAGTCGAATGATTGAATGCAAGACATTGTGAAAGTACTTACTAACCGTTTGTCCAGATCTCATAAAATGGAATTTTATAACTCTATTTTTCTCATGGTGAGCAATGGTATGTAAAAACATAGCCACTTGCTCATCTACTTGCAAATACTTAGACACTTTCAACCCACCCCTAGTTTCTAGCAATGTGCACAAATTAGTGAAGGCATTTCTATTCATCCTTAATTGATCTCTGCATATGACATCACTTACGTAAGCTAGTTGATAAACATATTGCCTAGCGTAAGCTAGTTGATAAACATATTGCCTATGAACAAACACGTCAAGCACATAAAGTTGTCTCTGTACAAAGTTTGATTCTATATCCTCCATCACCACTATTCCATCAATTGAAAGAACCATTGCACTACATGCATAATATTCAACCAATGTAAAAGCAAAGCAACTATCTTCGTCTTTCTCAAACTTTCACTTTTGACTAATCCTAAACGAGCCATTATCCTACAATAAAACAACCAAATTAGTACATTTCAACTCCGTTGTCTAAAAAACTGAGCATAAAAGTATGCACTAGTTAAACCATGAAAGAACCAAATTAGTATGCACTAGCCAAAAGGATGACACACTTCAGCGGAGGTTGACACTGTTTCCAAAGTTAAGAAAGTATACAAATGGAATAACCTAAACTTTTTTTTTGGCAGTGAATATGGCAAGTGATGGAAATCTAAAAAAATGGGTTTCAGATAAGCTAATGTCACTCTTAGGATATTCTTAATCCACGCTTGTTCTGTATGTCATCGGGCTATGTAAGCTGGTCTAACCTCACACTGCAAATTGTTTTTTTTAATTTAATTTTATGTACTATGTATTTTAACTAACAAATATGATGATTTTGGTTCTATTGTAGCTAAACAAGCAACATCACCAGCTGAAGTAGTGAGTAAGCTCGAGGAGTTTGGAGTATCCTCATTAAGTGCAACACGTGCATTTGCTGAGGAAATCTTCAGCAGGGTACCCCATAAATCCTCTGTTACATGGTATTATGCTATAATTTGTTTTGTGTTTCACATGGTATTATGCTGCTACATGCTTGTTCCAAAGTGTTGCTTTTCTTATGACTTGATTCTTATATTTACCAAGTGATTACTCGTGGACAAGAATCACAGCCAAAATCACAAATGATAGAATCACGGCCAAAATCAGAAATGACAGTTTCACAGCAAAAATCACAAATGACAGAATCACAGCTAAAATCACAAATGACAGAATCACAGCCAAAATCACAAATGGGTACACAAAAATTCTCACGGCCCTCAGCATTCTACACTTGTTCGAATGAAATAAGTTTCGAACTTCAAATCCTCAAAATCATCACACGGATTTTCAATGAGCAAAGCAATAAATCCAAGAAACAGATCCATACAAAAAACACTCAAAAAAATGAAAAAAAAATTCAACCGAGATCAAAGAATGGAGCCTGACCTTGCCGGAATCAACCACGACCTGACCTTGCCGGAATCAACCGCGACTTGACCTTGCCGGAATCAACTGCGACCAAGACTGAAACGAAAACGAACGAGCCAACCAAACAGATCCAATGAGCACATTTAAGTTCAACAAAAAACATATCCAATGAGCAAAGCAAAGCAAAGCATCCGCGAGGATCGATCATCACACGAGTTTTCAATGAGCAAAGCAACAAAGCCAAGAAAAAGATCCATACAAAAAACACTCGAAAAAAATGAAAAAAAAAATTCAACCGAGATCAAAGAATGGAGCCTGACCTTGCCGAAATCAACTGCGACCTGACCTTGCTGGAAATAGAGGCGCTGGTGAAGCTACAACCGGATCTAAGGAAACCGAAATCCGATGACGAGATTGAAACGAAAACGAACGAGCCAAACCGAGTGGAGGAAGGTCGAAAAGGAAGGGAGAAGACGAGAATCGATCGGCGGAAGAACGGCTCGGGTCGCGACGGCGATGGGAGCTCGGGTGGTCGCGACAGTGATCGGAGCTTGGGTGGTCGCGACGGCGATGGGAGCTCTAGGGTTTGTCTCTTCTCGATTGAGACTCGAGGACAATACGGAGAAAATGAAAAAATAGGCTGAATGGAAATGCGATTCCACCACCCCCCGAGTGAATGCCCATTCACTCAAATTGAGTGAATGGGCTTTCCGTTGAAAAGCCTATCCCAACTACAAAACTGAAACCAAACAAGAGAATTGGGGGGAATGGTCTTTCCATTCTATTCCATTCCCCAAACCAAACGCACCCTAAAGTTTACTGCTCTGTTTGATAATCTTGTAACATAAGGCCGGTCAAGCCTGATTCCACTATTTGCTTTGGCATTTGCAAAATTTATGGAGATTTAAACAAGTGACTTGTTACAAGTTAAAAGAACAATTCTTATGATCAATTTGAATCATTAACTAAGACATAAGAGGGAAATATGAAGCAACCGTGTCCTTGAAAGAGTCGTCATCTTTTCATGTTTCAATTAATATTGGCCAAATCATTTTTTTAAACGTGAAATATCAACCACACATCCAGTTTAAAACAGCAAGCAAAGCTCAATATTTACTAATATTCCACAATGTAGCTATTCTACCTCAATATCATGCAATGCCAATCTTTTCCTCACCAGAAAAGGATTAAAATTAGGGATCTTTTCTATCATATCGCATATTTAAGTAACGTTTAGTTTATGAGTTTAAAACTATAGTTCATGATTCTAATTTTTAAAATTTAAATTTTTTATAAGAAAAAAATATTTTAACAAAACTAAAAATTATAATCATAAATCAGGTAAAATTCTTAAAACAAATGATGGTCATGGCAAGTAACCATTGGTGTGTGTGTGTGTGTGTGTGTGTGTGTGTATATATATATATATAAATAAAGCAGTGCAATAAATTCAAGTCACAAGCAAAATGTGAGCCTCCACCCACCAGTTAGATGTTTGCATATAGGACCTAAACCCTCTTTAGACAAATGGGCTTCATTGATTGACATGGGCCATCAGAGTTACAGGACAGAAAACAAACAGGGGACTTACAAACCACCGTTAAGCGTAACGTAACAGTAAAAGACGAGAGCTTCACAACTCTTTATATGAGATAGCTCGATTCTTAACGTCTATGTTAGACCTCTGACATAATAAGTTTGTGCGTTTGACGCAGATGGATCTCTAAACCCGTAATTAAGAGGGTAAACTCGTCTCATCCCTATCTTTCAGTAGCCCAAAAAAAAAAAAAAGTGAAAAAAAAGGCTTTACAAACTCCTATAATGAAGAAGAAAAATTGTCTCTTTGTTACAGTAGATGAATACGTTTTTTTATTTTTTTTTTTATTTTTTTTCTTGGGGAAAAAAGGAGCACTTATTAGAAACCAAATATGTGAGTAGAATGGTTGGTCCCATCACTGTGCTTTACTCAGAAAACTTATTGTGTACTTCCCATTCTCTGGATGATTGGCAGCTGAATTAAATGAAGAGGATATATTCTTACAGTTTGAGATCTCAAGTGGTGGACAGTGGCCAGAGTCAAGGCCCATCTTGCACTTCACTAGCATTCGCCTTTCAGTACATCCTTCCAGTTAAATTGTTTTGTTTTGAAACCGCAAATAGCATTTTGTCATCCGTTCATTTTACTTATTCGAGTTTAAAATTTGAGTTTTATTACAGTAAAAAGCTCTAAGAAATAGTCACATCTAATTTTTTTGTTACAGTAAAAAGCTATCATATAAAATTATATCTCAACTCAAATTAAAAACTCGAATTAACGAACTAAACGGGCCCGTAATCACCACAAACTGTTCGTACCTCCCAAATTTGTATTTATTCCAAGTCAGATAAGGATGTTTCTAATACGTATTTACCTTCACACAACAAAACACTCCGATGTAAAATGACAGAAATTAATTAAGAAAATAAGTCCAATGCATGGAGGTCCACGTTTGGTTCTATTTTCTCTCTTCTCTCTGTTTTTATTCTCATATACTAATGTCTTATATGTATTGACTATCGAGCTACGCTTTGTTAGATGGCGCATGTGCCACACTTAAATTTTAGAAACTTGAACATATTTTTCTTGAATACTTGAGTTGTGTTAGTCCAATTTTATGAGAGAAACTATAACACTTGTTGGTAGACTGGTCGGTGTGACAAGCCGATCACTGTTCCAGCCCTATTGCGATTCCTCCTCCCATAGCAGAAAAGTCAGGGCACCCGTTGTACTTATTCGGACTCAATTTAAGGACCATGGCGCGTCCCAACAACCAAATTCACACCCTAAGCGGCCGAACACCAAAGACTCTGACAATTTCGTACATCGCGTGGGTTAGTCAATTTAGGACCATCTCCACTCTCGGATGAATATGGTATGAGAGCCATGGATGAATGTCCTAAAGATCTGACATATATGTACAATCGTACACTCGGGCCTAAGCGGGTCATAGGTCCTACCCAAACCCAACAATAAACTATAAATTTCCCTTTGATCACTTATTGAGGTAAGTACAAACTCTTCACTTAACTCCTGTCATTCCATTTATTGCTCTAGATCAACACACTGACTTGAATATCAGAGTGCCTTTGATCGATACCACACCGGTGTCTCCTTACTCTAAGGTTCCCTTTTACTCTTTGGTGGAGGACAGCACTAGCTCGATTTGAGAAGAGACCAAAATCCTATCAGAAGAGGCGGAGAAACAAAGGCTGATTACCGTGCCTATCTACACATGGTGTTGTGTTAAATTTGAACAACAACAATAATGGATTCATAACTATTTTTTATTTACGTGTATTTTTTGTGAGAGAAAATACTGTAACGAATCACAAATCATGATTCAAATCATGATACGAATACATCAACTAAACACATAATTTTAAAATATCTAACTCTCTGACTATAGGTTTCTTTTTTTTCTTGTTTTTTTATGGGTAGGAAATTTCGCGGAGGGATAAGATAAGGCATGATGTACGTTAGGTCCAAAATGTCCGCAAGGTGGGCTCTATAGACTGGCTTTTCTCCCTCAGGCTCGTGGTGGGGCAGGCCTTGTAAGTTCTAATAAAGAAAAGCAAAGGGTTAATAAGTTTGGAAGTTGGTACTTGCTTAAATTCTAACCATTAGACATTCTTAATTTTTCTGGCCACAAGTCCTTCGCATCAGGCAATTGTGTCTGCAACGTTATACATGTGTACGTGTCTATATATATATATATACGCACACACACTCTATACTATCCAGTTTCTCTGCCCAAACTCTATATATTCGTTAATTTGAAAGGATAATGAAAAAAAAATGATAAAAACAACGACATGGCCACCAATTAGTATGACAATTGGCTTACCATATTGCAATTGATGAAAAATGACAAGTCAACGAGTGACTATATTTCTTCAACGAGTTGGATGGATCAATATGTTTTATTTATTTTGGTTTTTTTTTTTTCTCCTCCCACAGCTTTATAATATATCACAGTTTTTTTTTTTTTTTTTTTTTTTTTTTTTTTTTTTTTTTTCTACTAGATATAAACATGTTCTACTAGATATATTAACAACTGCTCACATTAATTGTGAAAGAGATCCACCTGATAGTTAGTGATAACCGCTTAGTACTAATTATTATTTAAAGGTATAAGTATATGGTCCTCTAATTACACATGGTGTTATTATTATCATTGATTCCGCTCTACCCACTTTGATAAGGCGTCTTGAGCAATGATAAATTCGGTTGGGTGTGGCCCTCTTAAGGGATTTGGTGGAAGAGTGGCAGGTGTTTCAGTACTGAAGGATAACGTTAGTTTGCACTGTTTTTCTTGGCATAAGAAATGGGAAAAATGCATTGTATTGATGAACCTGGGACTAAGACAGATGAACATTAAATAGGGAAATATAAAGGCATAAAAATCTACGGAAATAGTAAAAAATAGACCAATATAAAAAATTTAAGAAAATATATAGGCTAACTTTTAGTTATAAAAATTAATATGCCATAATTTGTCAAGTTATGGTTCAGAACCAGATATATTATGGACAAACTTATCAAATTATGGTTTATAACCAGACAAGTTATGAACAAAAATCATGAATTATGTACAATAACTTGTCAAGTTATGGTTCATAACCAGACAAGTTATGGACAAAAATAATAATTTGATCTATTTATTAACTTATGTAAACTATTGACCTATTAATTTTAATTCATCTCAAGTCTTGACATATTTCTCTCTTTCTCCCTAAAATCTATAAAAAAGAAAAAAAAAGGAGTAAAATAAAAATCTAAAAATGAAATAAAGAGGAAAATTATGAATAAAATTGTGCATGTCTGTTAATTTATATAATTAAGAGGAGTGAGATTGATGTAGGTAATAAAAAAGCATAGTTAAGAATGGCAGACCACCGGGATCACCAAAGATTTTATTAAAAACAAAAAAGAATGGCTTTTTAAGAAATGGAGAAAATTGTTGAGAACATGGACGTCGTCCCCGCAATTGAAGGGGAAGTGAGAAAAAGTGCCCACCATTATGCTAATACAAGGACAATTTAGAGCCGACAATATTTGACTTGTGTGTGGTTTTATACTCTAATTTGCCCCGTCTATTTATGCAACATTTTCTTTATCTTTTGATTTATTTATATGACTTTTTTGCTTAGAGTACAACGTTTTTCCTTTCTTAATTTGCCCCGTCTCTCTTTTCTTTTTTCTTTTTTTGTTTGGTTCTTCAAGTGGAATGTGGGATTCTAAGACGTTTAAGTTGATAGATTCAGAATTATGATTCAGAACCATTCTTAATTTACGTGTATTTTTTGTGAGAGAAATTATTGTAACGAGTCACGAACTATGATTCGAATCATGACACGAATCCTTAAACTAAATGCACTTTTTTTTTTTTTGTTCTTCAAGTGGAATGTGGGATTCTAAGTGTATACCTCAATAGTAAAAGTAGACGCAGTAAAAAAAATATTAAAGATAAATGTGTATTCACTATTAAACTATGCCTATAAAACTTATTTATTATTATGTTTATTATTAGAGGATGAAAATGTAAAAAAAAAAAAAAAACGATATTATATAATTTTGAAAGTAGAATTATTTGATAAAATTTAACTTAACTTTAACAATTTAAAGCAATGACAATAATTTTGTTGTATCTTCGTACATACTACATAAGTCCTCAACGAAAATAATAAAGTTTCAAATATTTTCTTCTCGATGAATATTACATGGAGCAAAGTGGCGTTTTGTTACGCTCACATTTGCTTACAAATTATACCAAGTGAAAAATGAACATTAATTCACCGCTATACTATTTCTTCGACAATAAGTTGCAACTTGCAATCATAATTACATGCAATGATGTTATGAGTGCAACGTGCCGCTTGTGCAAAACTGCCATTTTTCGCTGTTTGACTTTCTCATTTTTTTTCAACCAAAACCACGTCACCCTAACGAATCAACATTAATTTGTAGGTCCTTTTTTATTATTAATTTGTTAAGTCCTTTTTTAATCTTTCTTTAGTGGTTTTGTTTTTGATGAATTTAATATAGTAATTGTTGACGCCATAATTTTTCACACACCGATGGCCTACCGGCGAAGTATTATCCCTATTTGGGCCCGCCAAGACGGGTAAGATTTTGTCCATTCGTAAAAGGCGCCTCACTGAGGTGAGGTGCCGGCACTCTCCCCGTGGGGCACCCTCCGGGCCTCCCCCACAACGAGATATTGTCCTCCACTTCTGCCCAATGGATAAGACCACTGAAGGAGGTTTTGTTTCCCGTAGAAACGCCTCGCTGGTAGGAGGGGTTGGCACTCTGATACATATACCTCTTCAGACCCCCGTCTCCAACCGATGTGAGACTCTTGGTGTACAACAGTAATCTTCCTCTATCTACTCTTTTACCTTGTTTCTTGTGCTCATTTCTCTACTCTATTTCACCTTGCTTTACGTAAAACTCGCCCTGTTAATTATAACAAGTAGTATCTAAAACACAAAATAATTAATTATCAATGATGGACACAAAAAGAAAATGAAGAAAAAGTGCTACGTGGGCTCAAAAGCCCGTAATCTTAGTGAAATTAGGAAATAAATAAATAAATAGGTCGGTCGGCTCACCAATTGGAAATCAACTTTTAGCAGAATTTAAGGCCGTTTAGCTCAGCAACCGTCTCTGTTTTTCAACTGTATTTCCGTGACGACATTTTTGCTTTCAGAAAAAAAATAATAATAAAAAGAAGATAAATAAGCAGAGAAATTCAAATAATCTTTAAAATATGACAAGAAGGCAAGCGCGTGAGTTCAGACGCAATTATATGAGCAGTTATAAAATAATACAAATTTTTCTTATATGGTCCAGTAGTAGACTTGACTATACACGTATGTATTTAGTACTGTAGCTATAACTGTCTGAAAACGCAAATACATTCACAGAAACTTGACAACAAAAAAGTGCTTACTCCACTGATCTCTCTCTCTCTCTCTCTCTCTCTCTCTCTACTCTTTTGTTTTTCTTTGTTTCCATTCATTCCCCAAACTCCACGGCATCATTCTCGGTGACAATCCAGAAGAGTTCTCTCTCTCTCTCTCTCTCTCTTTCTCTCTCTCTGTGAATGACAGGTACTTCTTATGTTCTTCCAAGTACTCTTGGAATTTTGATTTAGTTAGTTATCTGATTGGTGGTTCTAATGATGCATGAGCCTCTTACTTATGAAATTGTCTTGTTTTGTTCTGTTTGCATTTCTGGGTTTTCCTTAGATCATCCCGGTTTTGTTATCTCCATTATTATTATTATTATTATTTTGGTATAAAAACACTTGAATTTCTCAGCCAAGTTTGAGATTTTCATCACATTTCATCTTTCATTAAGGTTTTACTGTTGCTTAGCGTGTGAAATGGTTGATCTTTCTTGTTCTTCCTAGAGTAAAACGCTTCATTTATTTAATTCTTTGGTAATAAATAACGGCATCTACTGCATGTACTATGAAATTAAAAAGCCCGGCTAATTGGGTAAGGTCTTATTTACTTGTTTGGTTGCTGAGGATAGAAGGGAACAACTAACAAGGAGAAAATAAAATAAGGTCTGAATTTGCTATAGTCGGTTTTTTTTTTTTCCCCTCATACGATTTCTTAATTCGGTTCTAGTTTCTGAAGTTTCAAAATTATGAGAATTAAAAAAAATGTATATTTCTTCTGAGCAAGAATTATGAAGCATATCTAACTTATAAGATTTTGGTTTTCTCCCCTGTTCCTATCTTATTATAGTTGTGGCCTTTCTTTGTTCCACTAGTCCGTACATGTAAAAGTAATTGATAATATGAGATTTTTGTTTGGATGTTTTTCTGTCATACGTTTAGTGTGTTTATCAATCAAAAATTCTGATTCAGAATTGCTTTCATCTGTAGAATTCAGTAGAAGATTGGGGAGTGAAGAGATTCAACATTATTTTTCTACCACTTCAGCCCACTGACAGTTGCAGCGTTTAAGTAGGATCGATTTTTTGAGACAGAATTCGATTAGTTATAAATTAGGATGGCTGAAAGGAAACTAAATTTCAGTGCTCCCCTTATGTCTGTGAGGCGAATTGCTTCGAGGCCGATGTCTCCAATTCGAGACAACAGGAAGATAGTCAAGAATTCCTCACCCAATAGACGACAAATGACAATTGTAAGAGATTCTCCTTCTGAACCAGACTTTAATTTGGAGCAAGTAACTGAACCTGTGGCAGTTCCTTTTAATTGGGAGCAAATCCCAGGACAACGTAAAAATGCCGACAAACCTGAGCGTCAGCCTAGAGAGGCGACTTCTATTACTCCTAGGGTTCCCCCAGGGAATGTTTTTGAGGTCGCAAAGCAACCATTGGATACACATTATGCATATAGAAGTGATACCAGGCCCCAAATCAAAACACTGTATTCTTGTAATTCCAATGTGGCTGAGTCTAATAAGTACTCGAAAGAGGCAACAAATGAGATAGGTGCCTTGGAATTGGATGTCGAAGAGGAGGATGTTTATTCTGATGCACTTGACACACTATCTTCGAAAGAGTCTGTTTCCTTGAACTGCAGTGGAAGTGGTCTGAGTGGATCTGATGGTGCAGGCTTACTGAAGCCGTCGGGAAGCTTTTCAACTGATCCACAAACTCGAGATTTTATGATGAAGCGCTTCTTGCCTGCAGCCAAGGCCATGGCATTAGAGGCGCCTCGTACTTATTCTCCGAAAAGGCAAGCTTCGGTAGTGCAGGAACAACCTAGAGAAGTCAAGAAAGTGATTGGTGAGGAGAAGAGGCCTTTGAATGATTTAATAGGGTCTAGTTTGGTACCACGCTATGGGGATTATCAAGATGCAGAAGATGAAGAAGAAGACAGTGAAGAAGAAGAAGAAGTTGATCGTCACTATGATGACCCTAGAAATCTATCAATGAGAGGTTGTGGCTTCTTTCCTCGGCTATGCTTTCGAAATTCCTTAAGCCTCTTAGGTCCAGTTCCCGGGCTGAAAGTCAAGACAGGAACACCGCGTAAAACTGCTTCTAATCAATCTCACAGCAAAAGTGTCAAGAAGGTAATTAACACATTTTCTTCTTTTCCACTCCCTTTTGAAGTTCTATTCTTTGCATAATCATTTTTTAAGATTCTCCTATACTTTTAGCAGGCTTGGGATTCTACTTTTAAGCAAAAATCAGATGGTGGGTTTCGATCATCTGAGCTGCTGGCGGTTGAGAATAAGAGGGCTGGTGAATCCAAACGGTATACATATTCAGGTGACCTACAAAGAGGAAGACTATCTCCCTTGAGAAATTCACGGGCCGCGGACATTGCCTCAAATGATAAGCAAAAAACAGATATTGGATTTAGATCAGCTGAACTGAAGGCGTTTGGTGATTCCAGACAGTTGACATACTCAGGCGACCTGCAGAGAGGAAGGCTATCTCCCTTCAGACAATCACGGGCAAGGGAGATGGATTTCAGGGATTATAAAAATTCAGATATTGGATGTCGATCGGCTGAACTGAAGGTGGTCCAAAATAAGTTGATCAGTGAGTCTAGACGGTTGACATACTCAGGTGACCTGCAAAGAGGAGAGTCATCTCCCTTCAGAAATCCACGGGCAGCGAGCATTTCTCCTTACCGAAACCAATCATCCCAGTCTCCCTTCCGAAGAGCAGCGTTCCTTGGAGTTCCACAGGAGGAGAGTGTCAAGGCTGCCAAAAATATTCTCAGCGTCTATAGCAAAAGCAGCAACAAGTTTCAGGATACATCATCAAATCACAGGAACAAACAAGGGCCACTTTCAATGAGCCCTGCTGTTGAGAAAACACTGTATGTAGATACTGTAAATAATGCCGAGACTTTGTATTCAAATTCAGGTTCCTTTGATAACAAGGCACAAATGAACTCTGCTGGTGAGGACTTTGCACACTTGTTAGTATTGGCTAGAGAAATGCAAGAAGCTTCTGCAGAATCTGTATTCCAAGATATTAAGTGTCTAAACAATGTGGAGAAAAAATCCATACTGGCAACCAAAGGCCTAGTCTCTGTTGATGGTAATAAGTCTTCTTTATTCGGAGACTCCAAACTAGGACTCGGCCAAGAAGCCAAGTCCTTGGACTCCTTAGAATTGGCTCTTAAGGGAAATCCAAATAAGAACAGTGATCTGATTCCAAAAGAGGATTTGGGAGATATGAATTCCAGTTTGGTCCCATCCTCGCTTCCCCCACCTCTACCGAGATCACCTTCTGAGTCCTGGCTTTGGCGAACCATCCCTTCAATCCCTTTGAGGAACTCATTTTTGAAATCGAGGTCTAAAACACCGGAGTCAAAGACATCTTCGACGAGCACCAAGTGGGAAACGATTGTAAAGACTTCGAACTTGCATCACGATCATTCTATGTATTCGGAGGTAATCTCTCCTACCACTTTTGTGATTTTTCTTTCCTTTATAACCAAATTGAAGAACCTAACTTTATTTGCTTGCTCTTTTACAGGAATTAGTCGCTCATATTTCTAAGCAATCCAAAACTTAGAAAATACCAAGGTTCTCAAGAATAAGTCTCTCGCTTGATATATTTTGTTTCGGAGATTTTACTTGGAAGTAACTGAAGATGGCCATGATGTCTTGGCCGAGCCGGTTGTTTGAGGTCTTCTTCTTCCTATATTGACTTTGAAACCGAGCCGTTTCATGACATTTTTGTTGTTTAGATAACTAAGCAGACAAGGTTTGTTCAGGTCTTGTTTTCAGCGAGCTAGCTATACATGATTTTTTCTTTTTCTCTTTTTTCTTTCTTGATATACCCACAAGGCAATGGTGAGATGGGCAAAGTTCCTTGTAACAGCAGTTTTATTTTTGGCCTGAAATTCTAATGTACCTGACTTTATAATGACTGTACTGTATAGAAATTAATAGCACATTGTTGGTAATGAATTGGAGATGCATTTTTCTTATAGCTTCAATATTGAAATTCTAATGTACCTGACTTTATAATGATTGTACTGTATAGAAATCAATAGCACATTGTTGGTAATGAATTGGAGGTGCATTTTTCTTATAGCTTCAATATTGATCAATCATTTCATCTAAAATTTTTTATTTTTGGAAAGGAGTATTTGCAAGGAAAGACAAATTTAAAAGCCAACTGAAGTCATTTCCTCTTCACTCTTCTTAATCATGACTCAAAAGTAGGTTCTATTTATTTTTTTTTTTTTTTGTACCTAGCTACATGATGCGCTTTGTATCTTCTGGATATAAATGATGAAGCTCAGGTATCTTCAGCAGAATGTTGACCGAACTCTAATAAATTTTCAGTGTCTTCACCAGTAACAAGATTTAACTCATATATCAGTTGAAAAATATAAAGCAGTTTGTTTTGTAGGTTTAAACATTTTATATTTTTTAGAGAAAATATTATAGTAAAAGAGTTTTTAAATTATATGTTCGGGAAACAAACTAGTAGTATCTGTTGAAAACGCAACATGGTATTTATTTATTTATTTAAAGGTTTCTACTTTGAAAAGGCTCTTGAAAGAGAAGCACTTAACAAACTAGTGTCAAACATGTGATGATATTGACCCTGGTACAAGATGTTAAGTGCTTCAGCCTCAAAGTGACATTGGATATGGAGCAATCTTCATTTGAGATTCCTGTGAGGAACTTTTGCCTTCTCCTAATTGATAAATGAATTAATATTGTTGGCTAAGAAAGAGAAAGTGATAACTTGGTGCTTGGTTCCTGGGTGCTTTTATAATTACTAGTACTCTTATATTCTTGGCTCAATCCTAATTGCAAATCAGGAACTGTTTCTTCCTCCTCCAGAACTTTCTCCGGATTCAACTGCATTTCATTCCCAAAAAATAAATATTATAAATGAAGAAAAAACCTATAGTTTGAGTGCCAAAAAAAAAAAAAAAAAAAAAAAAAAAAAAAAAAAAATCCCCAAGTAAATAAATAAATAAATTATAAGGTTTATTAACAATGTGCAATTAATGTAGTCAAATAGTTACCTGCAGGGGCTGGAATGGACGGTCAAGATTTGGTTTATAGCCATTAGATCTTGATCTTGATAGAAATTTTGTGAGGGTTGTCCCATTGGTGCCAAAATTATTCATGAGAGATTGGATGGTAGTAGTACTATTAGTATTAACCCATGTAATATTTGCACCAATATTAACGCTTTTGGTGTTGTTGATCGTTTCAAATGGGGGCCACCTCTCTTGTTCAAGAAAACGGTTGCGTTTTATGGGCACTTGTACTTGGTTTGAAGTTGTTGACCTGCAATAAAATAACTCGTACAGTTTTAACAATTTGTCTTTTAAATTTTTAATTTTGACAAATTATCTTTTAACTTATAAAATTATTACAATATGCTTTATTTTGACGATGATTGTGTTAAATTAAGATCAAAAAAGCACATTTGATGAAAAATTTTAATATCTCAATTCAAATGTAATATAAATATTTTATTTTCTCAACTTTTAATCCCTTAAATCTAATAAAAAAATATGAACAAATTTAGTAAATATGGCACATTGTAACAATTTTTAAGTTTAAAAAGTTGATAATGAAAATTAAAATTTTAGGGGGCAATTTGTTAACCCATGATGTTTTCAGAGGACCACTTTACCTATAAAATGAAACGCCTATGAAAATGCTAACATTTTAAAACCTACTTTAAGTAAAAATGTCCCTAGTGTTGTCAAAATAAAAAGAGAAGTCCGTTTTTAATTAACTTTGGTCAATTGTTAAGTTGATTTTTTTATTAAATTGTTAATTAATCTTAGTAAAGAATTGATTAATTGATCATTGATTTATCAGCGTATGTAGTTTATTAATTTTCAATCACGTAAATTAGTGAGTAATTCTTGATTTGTTTTTTTTTTTTTTTAAAATGACTTATTTCAATTTAATGAAAGAGTTTAAGATCAGCAGTCTCATTTTCTTATCTCGGTAGCTATCCTTCTAATTAAATTTAAGCACCTCGTGAATTGTTTAAGTATTTTTAGTATTGTATTCTTATTGTGTGGTCAGATTCTTAAATTTAATTTACATGACAAATAAGTAGTGGAGGGATAGTCAGTGAGGTAGGAAAATAGAAACAGCGTATCTGGACTAAAAAGAAAGTGGGGACATTCACTAAAATATTCTTTTAAAAAAAGATCGTTTTTGCACATATCCCTATTAAATTAAGTGTAATTTTTTTATAAAAAAAAAAAAAAAAATCATACCTGAAAATGTTGGCTTTGAGATCTAAAGGTTTCCGAGGGAGAGCAGACTTCACAAGACTATGGACAAGGTTAAGATGGTTAGAATTTTGGTCTGTAATATTAGTGCTGTTCTCCATTAGTGTAAGATGTTGCTGAGAATCTCTTCCATGCTTGGATCGATATCTTGGAAATAACACTGTAACAGCAAAAAAGTTACACAACATGATTTATGGATATTTCCGTGCTCTATGGTTTTTTACATGAATTCTTTTTCCAGCTTTTGAAAAGGGAAATTAATTAAATGATAACTCACTATCTTTAAAATTAGTTGAAATGCATTCCCTCGTTTACTTTTGGAATATCTAATTTATTCAGGAAAAGACTAGGGTGGTTAACATTTGAGAATTTCAGTACGTGTTTTAGTTCAATACTATTCATAAGATGGATAATCACCTATTCAATATTATTTTTTTTAAATCTAAGCTATGTTTTAATTTGCTGCGATCCCTGAAAAAAAAAAAAAAAAAAAAAAAAAAAAAAAAAAAAAAACTGCTGGCTTTCATATGTTTCGTTATAATTTCTATTTTCTTCATTTTTACTTTAAAAGAAAATTAATTAAATTAGCTAGCTAGCTAAGAAACGACCTGCTACATATTAGTAATTGTCCTTTTATTATTTTATTTTGTTTTTACACCATACTCCATAGTTTGATTTATGAAGAAATTTTAACTAAACCATATATATAGATAGATTTCTTATAAATTCAAAGATGTCGTGACACAGAAAACCGCACCTAATTGCCCAGCATCATCAAGCTTCTTGCTTCGGTACATCTGATAATACAATAAGGAATATATATACACATTAGTTTAGGACAAACGTCAAACACTAATATATTAGTTAAAATTATAATTTGATGGTATATGTATATTATAAGTTAATGCAAGATCTAGAAATATGATATTACCTGCAGGTGACTCTTCACATGGCCAATGCTAAGTCCTCTCACATTCATTAGCTGAAGAACTAATTTGGGAGTTGCTTCTAATAGAAGCACAAAAAACTAGAGCATTAGCAATTTGTTGTTCTTATATTCATAGATATAGAGATATATATAGTAATTAAAATGGATTCTTAAAGTAAATCCCCCTTTCATAAGCTTTTTTTGATAAATTACCTAAGGTTTATTAAATTTGAAAAATAACAGGTTTTAAAACAGTTAATTAGTGATGGATTGATTTGCGGTTTATCACCAATTAACATAGTAGTCTATTACTGATTGACTTAATAATATGCACCGATATCAATTAGTGATAAGCCAACCTATCAGTGATAGATCATTAATATATTTTTTTTGAAGGATAGATTATTAGTATATCGGTAATTAACTATATAGTAAAATCCAGTAAACAAAAAAAAGAAGCTGTTTAAATATAAAAAAAAGATGATATTAATAAAAAGATAGTGGCCAAAACTGACCATCCAGCTAATTTTTTCTAATTAAAAAGAGACCAAATTATAAAATCATGGATTCATTACTTACTCTCTTGTCCACCAAGCCTCTCAACGGCATGCACAAAAGAGAGATGCAAGTCCGGGGTCCACCGGAGCCGAGGCATTTTGGACCTAACATATTGCCTAACTCTACCCTTTCCCTCTTTTCTATTAGCTGACGATGAATTCCGATGCATTTCATTCCCATAATCAGCGATCAGACCTGCATACTTTTCACGAGTAGTACTAGCACTTCTAATAGCAGCTTCTTCGTTTAAGTCAAAGGAGGAGCAATTTTTGGAAGCTGAATATTGGAGATGGGATATCATCATCTTTTCAGCTTGAGACTCGCTAATTCTAGTATCACCACCTAGATTTAGTACCGCTTTCTTCATAATATTCAATATTTCCCATCTTCTCTAGCGTGTTCTTTACGATTTCCCTTATTCTTTTTCGCTGTTGCAAACTTTTAAGGTGCTGCAAAAGACGCAAATATTTGCATTACATAAGAAGAACAAAATGCATGTAAGATAAAAACAAAACAGGATTTTCCGTTGGAAAAGATCATAAGTGGGAGAAACTGATCTGATGCTAGGATCGAGTATAAGGAATATTGTCATTTGTACAAGGAAAGCCAATACCTCTTGCCAATGATATAGCGTACATGTGCTATTAGATTCTCCGAAAAGACATGCATTCACACGATTTTCTTCAGCTTATTATATATTTCTAGTTTCTTTGGTAGAGCTATATGTATTAAACTTATACTGATTTGTTTTATCAACCCACCCATAACCACCGCTATGAATCTGAATGCTATATATAGTAACCTTTTTAATGCTATATGAGAATTCATTATAGCAAAAATAGAAATGCTCTGACATAACTATTACGAACTGGCCGGATTAGAAGCACTACTACAGATAGTTCATTTTACGACATCTAAACAACGGCGGTTTCTAAAAAAGCTATTATATCATCTAAATACATGTATATATAAAAACGCGCCATGGAATCTTCCGTATTTCAGAAGGACTGTCGCCATTATATATAGAAATTTTTTAGTAGTGAAGAGAATTACATATTTTAAGCATCTCAAGTAACATGCAACAAAAGAAATTGATGGAATTGTATTTGATAATATTAGAGACTGGTCATGATATATGTAACCTTCACTGCTTCATGTGAGTAAAAATTCATGTACAGGTACTTTGTGTGTGTGTGTGTTAAAGAAAAGAGTACTTCTATTGGCCAAGGGGAAGTTAATGTTTTCATGTGTGCCCTACCGGCAAGCAAATTATACATGTGCTTTATTAAGTACTCGGTTAACAATTGTCCTCCCAATTGATGTCTGCAACTATACGTAACTGTTTAACTGTAGAAGTAGTCAAATATTGATGGTATATACATATATGTGTGTGTGTGTGTGTGTGTGTTAGTATCATAATGTGGTTGTAGGCCATCATTTTAGGTGATAATATGGTTGTAGGCCATCATTTTAGGTGATAATATATTAGCTAACTGTACTAAAAACTTAATTATTTACTTTTGAGTTGTGCATTGTACATCCTTAAATTCAGCTTCCATTTTGAACTGTATCGCTGGCCTATGTTAATGGGAGTAAGTATGGAATTTAAATGAAGTGTCTATAGGTTATTATTCCTTCTACGTACAAAGAATAGCCAACCTTTAAATGTATGCCAACAAAAGAATGTAGGAAAAGAACTTGTTCCTCTCCCAATAGCTCTACGGAAAAAGAAGGAAGAGAATAGAAATTACGTATATTGCTACAAGAGTACGTGGATTATTAAGTTGTAAGTATATGCGCTTTTAATCTGAAATTATACATAGACAGTATATCGATGCCTTTTTATCTAGAATAATTAGAGATCTGAAAGTATCAATATTTGAAGTTATAGAACAACAAATTCCGAATCGAAATGAAACAAGAACGCAAAAATTTAAGTAGAGAGATTCTTCTAAACATTGTCCAAGGACGCAAAAATTTAGATAAGTTTCTACGTTTATATAAGTAGAACCATGGCACTCGCAACCTAATTAAGACTATAATTTCATTAATGCATGATATATGTGCATAATTTCCGATTCCAAAATCTAATTTTAGCAAAACAAAATTTTAAAAAAATATTGTAGTCATGATAACTTGCTTATTGGACGTATCAATATATATACACACACACAAACACACACACACACACACACATATATATAGATCTGAACTCACTGTCATTAAGTTACTAAACGAATTCCAAAAAAAAAAAATATCGGAAAGAATTAGTATATATAATTAGCAGAAAATTGAAACTCACATGAGTGAATGAACTACTGTATATATGCACCTTCACGTAGTTTTTCTTTTCTTTTCCTGCTACACCTTCATGTAGATACACTCATGATTTAATTATGTACATGACCGATCAGGAGCAAAAAGGTACTCTTACAAAAGAAAACAAAGCATAAAATCTTGATTGTTGAGAATCTACCGCAAATTAAAAGAAGAAGAAGAAGAAGATCAAGAACCAAACTAACATTTAGATTATAGAAAGTCTCGTAGAGAATTGGTTTCGTTTTTTCTTTCTTTATATAAATAAGCCATTGATATTGGTGAGATATGTTAATCCTAAATATATAGCTCTAAATAGAAGTGATCCTTTTTCAATATACTGACCAGATGATGAGAAACAACGTACATATGTCCGTACTCAGACCAATCCAACCTCAATCTGATCACTGCATGCCCTTCATGAAATAGAGAAAGAGAGAGAGAGAGAGAGTACGGTTATTCCGGGATGCTTTTTCTATTCGCACATGAACAGGTCTATTAGATTTAAAGTCATAAAAATTCAGATTCTGATGATATATATATATATATATATTCTGAGACTTTCATACGGAATACTCAAAACAAATTAAAGAAGAAAGATCGATTTCATACACTGCATGAGTTTATAATCTTGTTTAGGTTAATATTGCAGATGCAGAAATAATTAGGACTCACATTACTATGGATACAGATATGCGATTGGTGATGATATTTTTCCGGGACTGATCAAATCATGTGACACCCTTTTCTCTTCTTCCTCATCACCTCTTTTGACAGCTGTTGTCTTCCTCGTAAAAAAATTTAAAAAAAAAATCAACAAAACTCTCTCTCTCTCTCTCTCTCTCTCTCTCTCTCTCTCTCGTTCCTCTCCTCTCTCTCTCATACACACACACAAAAGCTCGTGATTATCTAATTAATTGTTTGACCTCTGTTTGATACTCGTCCCATCCGCGGTGGGGTCCCTTTTTCATGTAGCGTTTCAATTCCTTCCCACCTAAACAAAGACTTTTTGGCTATGCGTATGCACAAACTACAAAACCCTTGTTTGTTTTCCTTCGATATCCTTATATATGGCCCATGATTTTCTTTCTACCTAAATACTAAAAAATTTGCTTTTGTTTAGCATTTGCATATGTTGTCATTCCATGACTTTTGTTTCTTTGATATAATTAATATCCCCAGGAAAAAGAAATCATGGTAGTTGAATGTAAATGCAAGACGCACATATAACTTTTTGAGACTGATTGTATCATTTTTTCCCCCCTTCTTTCTATTGAACTTCACGTGCTTATATCATGACATCAGTCATTTTCAGATCCAATTAGATAAGCTGATTTTCACATGGCTTGCTTCGGCATTTCCATGCAACTTTTATAGGTTTCTTATAAGATAAAACGAGCTAATTATAAGTAATGTATGATTAAGCTATTCGAACCTTTGACTACATGAGAAAAGAAAACGATGTTAAGCTAGAGCTAGACGTTAAAAAATACCCCTAGCTATAATATATATTAGATCATACACAGAAGTACTTAATCAGTATATATATAGTCAAACACTCACACACGAAAGATTAGATCAATTCATCATCATTAATGTTAGTAATTAAGTACCTAAAGCACCGGTCAAGTATAGCAACAGAAATTTGTTATGCATGTATCAATACAACTTAGATGCATATGTACAATTGTATAAGAGGGTGTGTACCGTGTACGTATCAATGACAAAGTCGAATATGAAGCTATGTAACAATTGGCCGTCTGAAATAAAATAAAAAAAAATTTCTTACTATTACATCTTTCTAAAGTTATTGTTATATATACTTACGTTATAAAATAAATGTACGGTTATGCCTTCTCCTTTACATGCAACACGTGTTTTAAGGTTCTTTTGCCTTCTCATACTAAACCGTGAAACGTCGGTAATTCATATCCATTGACATGTTTTTAACGTGGAAGTATCTATCTCATATAAAATGTGGAAGTATTATATATGGTGGTCTTGTCACATAAAATGATTTTGAAGGAGCATTATTATATACTCTGGAGATATTCAGAGAAGGGTCCGGACCATGTATATCATGCACCTACTCTTGACCAATTGTGCACAGCTCTTTTTTTGTCATACCAAATCAAATCAAGTCGATCGTCTACTTTTTTCTCTTGAAATGTAATAGTACGGCAAATAAAACAACTTTAAATTAAAAAAAAAAAAAAAAAAAAAAAAAAAACAGAATTACAGAACCTAGCAGGGGTTGAGAAAGGAGATAGGCAAATAGCATATTCATCCTCAGATTAATGACGTTTGGTTCATTGATTTAGAATCATGATTCAAAATTATTTTTTGTTTACATGTATTTTTTGTGAAAGAAAATACTATAACGAACTACGAACCATGATTCGAATCATGACACGAATCCACCAACCAAACGCTCGTCACAAAGGGAGCGTCTTGGTTTTATAAATAAATAAATATATATAAATCATGTAGGTAACCAATAAGAGGTGGACCAACAATAATTTTATACTTTTAACACTTTCTCTTATGTGTGAGCTGGACAATAATCAATCGTGTAGGTAAATGAATTGAAAAGTCACACGTGAATATTTGATAATAAGCTTGAAATATATTAAAGACGCAACCCCGTAATGACGATTTAAATTGAGATAAAAATGTAATTACAGGAGTTTAAACTCAGAACCTACCATATTAGTGTATCAATCCATCACAAAAGCTTAACTATTAGGAGCTTGACCAACAATAGTATACTTTTAACAATATTTGATAATAAGCTTCAAATATATTAAAGACGCAACACGTGATAACAATTTAAATGGAGATAAAAAAATACAATTACAGGAGTTTAAACTAAGGACTTCCCGTTTAATACCATGTTAATTTACCAATTCATCCCACAAGCTTAATTATTAGGAGGTGGGCTAACAGTAGTATACTTTTAACAATATAATCCTTTGGAAATGATGGCTTCTCTATTGATATTAAATAATATATATCTGTGAGCATGTGTATGTGTATATGGATTAAAAATCTATATTCCGGATTGGGTAAGTTTCTAAAAGTTATATAATCTCCCCAAATCAACAGGTTTTTAAAAGTTATGCGTGTGTATATGTGTATATAATCTAGTGACCATGTACAATGATTAAATTTCCCTTATATGTACAATGTCTAACTATCCCTTATATATCTCCGTAAATGGAGCTCTGATTGAAGATGTCAATCTTTGATAGTAAAAAAAGAAACCATGAACATGATATTGAGGTTTCGTCAGAGTACCGACAACTTGAAGATCGTGAGACAATTAGACAAACAACCCGGAGAACAGCATTTTGGACTTGATCACGGATAAAGTGAAAGTCAATGGCAACATATTTCATTGAAGAGTAGAAGACCGGGTAATCACACAAATAGATAACCAGCTTGCTTGAAGAAAGTAACGCCAAATACGGAGAGCAGTGAACAGTGCCAAGTGAGTTCGGCGACAAGGTTTATTTTGATCATTAAAAAGAGAACTACTTATCAAATAGGTTTCATTATTAGTAAAAAAAAAAAAAAAAAAAAAAAAAAAAAAAAAAAAAAAAAAAAAATGAAAAATGAAAAGACATAATGGAATTCAAAACAACAAAACAAACAGAACCAAGCATGAAACAAGAAAGTTTTTCAATTATCCTCTTAATTAGTTGTTATTTAGACACCATTTGAGAAACTAAATATATAATTTGAATCCGTTCATAAGACAAAATTCTCCACAAGCCACAACGCTACTCTCCTTCGATCAAAACTGACCCTTTCTTACCCACACATGGCTGAGGTTATGGGCTAAGCCCTTTTCTCCAAGCCCAATAATGTATTTGCCGTATGACTTTTATGCAAGGGATATACACAAATGTTAAGATTCATAAATAAAACAGGGATAAAATCAATTTAATATCGAAATATGTTTTTAGTATCATATATTTTTAATAATATTAAATAAGTGTTTTTAAGATTTAGAAAAAATCTTATAAATATCTTTAAGCTCTTTTTTTAAACTTAAAATGTCCAAATTACCTTCCTTAATAATCAAAGAAACTAACGATTTTAAAATTATTTTCCTAAAATAGATTAATTTCAACCATGGATGAAAGTCTACTCAATAAGAGGAGCCCCAACCCAACCTCTATCGCCGCCTCCTATACCATCTAGCCCCACGAGCTCAACGCCGTTCCTCAGTATCGATCACCGTTCCTCAGAGATCATCGTCCCCTTCTCGATCTTAGCTACACTTAATGCCTCTTCGTAGATAAACTGATGCAAGTTATTACGATTTGCCCATTTTACCCCGTCCGAAAGTATTTAGGCCCGTTCAGTTCGCTAATTCGAGTTGAGATGTGATGTTGTGTGAGAGCTTTTTACTGTAACAAAAAAGTTAGATGTGACTGTTTCTGAGAGCTTTTTACTGTAGCAAAACTCGAATTTTAAACTCGAATCAACAAAAAGAACGGGACCTGAAAGTTGCTGTAATTTGAAAACCCATAGGAGAGAAGTTGGATCTTTCACTCTCACATGGTTTTTTCAGTCAATTTTTTTTTTTTTTACGAAAAAGGTCTGGAAACGATTTTCTTGTATTTTTTTTTTCAAAGAAGAAAAGGGCATATGCATATGGATAGTAATGTTCACCGTGTAATAGCAAGTTTTTGGCTGCAAAAAGACAAAAAGCTCTTTCACCATTTTCAATTCCTCTCGCACTCTCTTAAGTTTTTTCTGTAGCTTTTGGGTTCAAAAGTTTCCACTTGTTGGTGAATATCTATGGTGTGCTTCTTTGCTTTTTGACTATTTTCTTTATGTGTAATGTCGTACGGATACATGGTCATTCAATTCTTAAGATTTGGAATACCTGCAACTAGGGGCTGAGGCTGTGACAGGGTTGATTTGGTATCAATATTTGATTGTGGTATAATAATAGTTCTGATTTGTTTGTGTTTATTTTTGTTTTAAGGGTTTCTTTTGATTTCTTTTTTTTTTTTATAAACGTTTCAACGTATTTGATTTTTTTTTAATAAACGTTTCAACATATTTTTAGAATTTTTAAAATTATATTTTCTAATTAAATAAATAAAAAGGTGGTTTGAACATTTTAAATGCCAAAAAATGACTCTAGAGTACTTATAAGATGTTTTCTAAAACTTGAAAGTATCTATTTAATATTATTTAAAAGACAGAGTATCAAAAATATATTAAAATATAACAGAGGATACTAAATTGATTTTATCTCATAAAAGTATCTAACAAAAACAATATAAGGATATAAGATGTATTAAACTTTACTCATCAATTAATCAATGAGAAGCAGCCATTTTCCTAAATATATGTATATAAAAAAAACGTTCTAAGTGCCAAGGAATTATTATATTAATGACGCTCTAATGGATATCAATGAAGCACATTTTCTATTTTCTGATAAACTATTTTCGCAGCAATCTAGTGAGTTTGATGATAAGGCTATGATTGCCAATCCATACTGAAATTAACCACATATTTTCAGTCATTGTGGGGTCCTTGTCTCCGTCTACATGAACTGCTCTTCCATTCAAAATAAAAAAAAATAAAAAAAGGAAAATGAAAAGAAAAAAAGAAAAAAGGAAAGAGTAAATTAGTGTTATACCTGTTAATTTAATAATTGAGTTGAGTTCCTGACCACTTATGCATCAATAATTACCCTTTTTATTAAATTTAAAATAATGTTAGGGACACTAAAAAAAGGAAAATAAAAACAAAAAAATAAAAAAGAAAGAGTAAATTAGTGTTATATTC